TCGAAAAACAAACTCCCATTTTCGAAAAAGCAAATTCTTAATCTCGAAAAACGAACTCCCATTTTTCATAAGTGGATGTCCCTTTGGGGCTTCCGTACAAACCCGATGACGCGGTCAAGGGGTTTGCATAACTGTCTCGAATTCTCCCAACCCCCCTCGTGTTTAGACGAGGCTATGTAAACGCGGAAAAAGTACTCTATTGCTTTTATAAAATATTTCTCAGGAATACGCGCGAATCTAAACCGTCACAACTGTCTCATCTAAACACACCTATCGACCAGTGAGCGCGCGCGTAGTACCTTAGTTCTTTTACAAACATTTTTGCAAAAATGACATGTCGTTTCGTAACGTTCGGGTTACGAGGTTCTTCTTTGCATTTCAGGTTGCAACACACAGTCATCAGGGAATCCATTACCAACGGAATGTAATGTATGCCGAGTAGCAAAGGACAAAACGACCGGCAGCTGCCTTCCAGAGTGCCCCCCGGAAAAATACCTTACAGCTGATAAGCTGTGTCTCGACCTGAGTGGTATGTAAACGGGGGAAATCATATATCTAGGAAGGGGTGATGGGGAGGGAGTTTGTATAAGGGGTTATTGGCATTGTATTGCCTAGGGATAAAAAGTCTGAAAGGTGCGAAGGATATTTTGAAATAGGCCATGTTCGATATATCAATATTCTAACATGGCTCCGAGGCTTTCGAGTCAAAATTGCAAACTTTTTAAGTTCTTTTTGTCTCTCAATTCCCAAACGAGACTTGGATACAAAGAAAACACCACCAAATATAGAAGTTTGTCCTGAAGGCCTCGGAGCCATGTCAAAGATCAATAATATCGAATGTGGCCTATTGGCAATTTAGGTAATGAGGGGGAGGGGAGTATCTTGTTTTACGACTGAGAAAGACGACTTTTCTCACCCGTCATGGGTCAGAGGGCGAATTCTATGCCAGAGCAGGAACATGTAACTTTGCATGTTTTCACATAGAAGGGATGTAGACTGCGCTGACAAACTCCTAGCAGTGGAAAGCTGTTATTCTTTTGCGCCGTGTATAACTTGTTATCATTTTATGACTATGCCGAACTGTGCTAAAAATAATAGAAGAATAGTAGATCATAAAAGAAGACGAATTGCTGGTCTTCATAGAGTTCACGAAACTCAATCGTCTATTTTTTCTGGTTTGGTTTATGCTTGCCTTTGAAAACAGCAATAAAATATTTACCTGTGGGTCAGCTATAGCACTGTAACTTGATGCCAAAAATTTAATCATGATGTCACGAAACTGTTTGCTTAGCTGACACTGATGTCAGGTTTATAAAAGAATTCACACTATAGACGGCGGAAAGTGTATAAAGAAAGGAAAATAATTTCTCAGCTGTATTTGCAGTTAAAACAATTGCAACGAAGCCTGGCAAAAAAAGATTGCCAAATAAAAGGAGAAAAGCAACAGAACTACATCATTCAAGCGTCAACCGCGAATGCAACATGGCTGCCGGTTGTAGGATCTATCTTTGCCCACCTACTACTAGCTACTACTACACCAGTTAGCGGGTTGCAGGAAAACTTTGGGGGTGAGTTTAGATATGAATCAGTTGCTTAGCAACATCACCGCCGAAAATTGTGGGTTCGGTCGCCTCTGAGATGGGATAAAAACCAAAAGAAGCGCCTTGGATGTAAAATAGAAGTAGGCGAAAGCCCATAAAGTAACCTTTCTCGCGTATGACAAGGAAGTTGTGATTAGGATTGGAATGGAGCTAAATTCTATGCCTTAAAATAAGGAAAGAAAAAATGAAGTGAACAAATGTTGTTTGGCGGCTTGTGAACAATCACTTTTAATCAGCAGAAACTACACAGCTCTTGACAGTGATATGTAGACATTTGTTTTGAGTCAGCCGTATAAGAGACTAGTTCTCTTGCAGGATGCTCAGCTCAATGTATTTGATGCCTTCTTTCTCTTGTGCGTCGTCGCCATAAATCTCCAAAGATAGGCCGTTGTTGGGATTCAACTTGTACTGGTAAACCATTTCCCTGCTGAAACCGCCGTCTAGCGGGACGAAACAGGTTCCCCAACGGTCAGACAGGCTTAACTGGATCTCGAATCTTCCTGGGTAATAAGACTCGGATGGCTTTGGGAGTAACGTATCGGTATGACGAGTCATGGTATTCCCGCTGGGCCCATCTATACCAAGACAGGGGGCAGTCGATGGGTAGTTGGTCTTATCAAGTGTCAGCATGCCGACAAAGCGATCGCCATCTGAAATAGCAAATGAAGGATCGCTATCTGCTGAGCCAAATTTCGTTTCCAAGCCAACCGCCATCTTGACGACAAGTTTGGCATTTTTACCGATGACTCCTGGCGGAATCAGTGGAACAATCATCAGTCGATAGTAGTTGCTTGGAGCACTGAGGAATGTGAGTAGTCGAGGAGTCAGGGTATTGTGGTGATGGATGAAGGTAGCAGCCTCAGCAAGCTTCGTGGGTGTGAAGAATTTGTAAAACACAAGCTGTACGTACAAAATAGAAGACAAAACTTATTTAGTTTACCGCTCACTTTTTTTTTTTCAAGCGAAAACAGCGTTGTTAAGGCGTCAAGTGTAATACTGAGTCTAATCTAAAAAGAACGCAGATTCTTAAATAAACGAAATAAAAATTATTTGTTGCTATCGTGATCCATATTTACTGCTGCCCGTAGAAGTAGTTTCTGGCCAAGACGGATTTTTACTGACCATTGTCACCAAGAAGGACTGGAAGCAAAGAAAACAGATTTAAGTTGTCTAACCTGTGGCTGCAAATTCGACGTGTTTTCATCCTTAAGATCATTTGCTTGGGCCAACGATACAGAAAATATCAGCAAAACTATTTTGATAATGTTCATCTTTATACTCATTTCGGTTCCGACCGGACTGCTTCGATTCAAGATATGGTTACAATTTGAGTTCAACTAATAAATTGAATGGTGTCATTGATTCAGTGGAACATTACTGTATATGATCAAGTGTTTCGAAAATTTTCGCGTTTCCGAAGCAGACCTTTATTTGTAAGTTAAGTTATTTATGATTGTCAAATAATCATTAAGTAGACAAAGGAATCGCAAAATTTGAATTTCAAATCGATTTAGCAAATCGATGCCACTGATCATCACAAAACTTCTTCGGAAACTTTCAGCTGATTGTCACTTCCGTAGAGAACAGAAGCCCGTCTTTCATTAAAATACTTTTCTGACAACTTTTGATGCCACAACTACGACAAAATTCCAAAAGAAATAAAACTTCATTAATTAACATATAAATGAACTACAAAACATGGTTTATTTGCCCCCAGTGACAACCATAGCCTTGAAGGCTTCATCCATTTGGGACGGTCATGTTTCGCTGTTAAAAACAACCAAAGATCACTGAAGTATGACATCGTTTCGAACATCACTGTAATTTGATCTAGGGACTCGTAAATCTTTGCGTCTGGAGGCTAGTCCAATTTCCTAGCCTAAAATAAAACTAGGGTATTTAAAAGGTAGTAATGCTGCGGCACATTCTGTTGATAGTGACATCTTTTGCGCATTGATTCATCAACAACTTCATGCATGATAACGCATCGATGGCGACGTGTGACAAGGGATCGTGACAGAAAAGCGCATAGTGATCTGAACTGTGTTTGGACATAAAACGATACACATCAACCTCCCCTTTACCAGATCGCGAAAATCGAAAGATGTGGAAATTGTAGGAGCAGAAATCTAACTTATAAATTCTGTACTGGTACGCATTAAATGTCTCTAGAATGTTGACAGACTGTGTCGAGGACGCGTCCAAAGCGATGTGTGAAAATGCTAAAGCTTTAGCTTAAATTCATGTTTGGATGAAAAGAGATAGATCGCAGCATATATGAAATAAGCATGTTCTACGGTTTTCGTTTGTTTTAATTATTCTGCAAGCTTTAGTAACGACGATTTCTCTTCATTTAAGAATTCGACCATTAAGAACAAAAGCAAGAGTTGTGAAAGTGAAGCACGATCTCCTTGACATCGTTTTACAGGTTAAACCACTAATCTTTCTCACAGTCGTGTTCCAAGGAAAGTTAAGTCTGATTCACGATATGGGAAACATGGGGAGATGTCCTCGTCAACCATCACGCGATAGAAATCTTGAGCTCATAATCTAATTGTTTAATATATGGAGGGAGTCGGGGTACACATCCAAATCCACGTCAAAACAAAACCATGTGTCTAGATATACGTGATCGCTGGACAATATGGCATAATCCTAATATTCGTTTATTTTGAAATTACAGCTACCTATGATATGGAGTTTCCAGTCGTAGATCAGCAAAGTGTGAAACGCGCTACAGCCAGGGAAGTACCTGAATTACCAGCTTTCACGTTGTGTTTTTGGATTCGCCTTCCTCGAGGTTACAAGAAGAAGTCTTTCCTCATGTATCCAATAATCGAATACAGAGGCTCCGAATCATTGTACATCGGCTTGGTAGGAGAAGAGACAGATCTAAAAATGGATTTTATCTTCGATGGAGGAGGGAAACAGTAAGTCATGGATTTTATTTCACTAAACAGAACACTGAGAGCCCATCCCAAAAGTACTCCTGTGTAATAGTGACGGGGATAATCTTGTTACCGTTGAGAGGTTAGCGCTGTATTAACACATGACTATCGTTAAGATTATTCCCTGGCATAGCCTGGGAACATCCACCCCCTCCCCTCAAAACTATCGGGGAGATGGACCCTACCCCTCTTTTTTAGGGGGGGGGGGGGAGGTACGGATGAACACTGGCTATCCCTGGCACACTACAGGGCATTAAACCGAGAAAACATGGTCCGTGATTTCCTGTCAGACAATGAACTTGTACCTCTTTGGGGAAAATTAATTAAGGCAATGCCCGTAAACTAAGATCCTAGTATCTTTTAGAAATTCTTTTTGAAGTGTCTTGAGATTACCCCCGTAACTTTTAATAGTTGATCCCCGGAGACTCATTTGAATCACTCCAGGGGTGAACACCCCCCCCTCCTCAACTTGCGAAGATGGGCCTAGGTTGTGTAACACGTGTCAGTGCCAAAGGTCCAAGGGTTCAGAATATTTCCACAGTAGTTGGCGTTACTAACACTGATATTTTTCTCAATAGCAACACTCCTCCATTCTTTTCCACTTCAGATTACCGCTGACTGCTTTGACGGACAAAAACTGGCACCAGATTTGCATCACGTGGGCAGGTCACAGTGGAGTGACGATACACTACTTGGACGGCTTGCGCAAGGTCGCCGACACCCGTCTGATCGGATCCCTGGAGGGTGGGGGAGTGTTGACAATCGGTCACTATACAGAATACCCTTATCAAATAACAGGCCTGAATCTATGGGACAAAGTCATAGCTCCTGAAGATATTGCCGAGTTCTCCAAAGCGTGCGAGAAGGGCAATGGAAATGTCAAGGCTTGGGCAGATTTTTACGATCTGGCCAAGGCAGAGAACGTTAACTTGGTAACTCCTTCAGCTTGTCGTGTAAGCCAAGAGGGTGCTCAGTGACTGACTAAGCTGTTGTGTCCTAAATAATTAGAACAGCTTCTGAATAAAGGTGTTCGCTGTTAACGTTTCTGTCTCCGAACCTCCCTTAAGTGATTTTTAAATGTAAGTTGACGATTAAACCACAAGTCGTGAGTTAAAGAGCAGACGTTTGCTCCAAAGAAACCAAATAGTGGCCGGAGGAGTTATAAAGTCGAGAAAGACCCAACCCGGATACAAAATGCGAGTAGCAGAGAGCACAATATCAAAATCGTGGTTTTACGTTTAATAATTGGCTGATAAAGGTATTTGGTATTTCAGCTTATAGCTACATAATAACATCTCTTGTGTTCAAAAGAAATACAGTAACGGCCTCTCCGTTCCAAGAATCTTAAAAAACATTTCCCTTTGTTGGACTGCAGTCTACTTTAAAAACATTCAGCAGAAAGCAGCCAAAATCACTCACACTAACCCAGTTAACGAACAAAACATAATCCGGACAGACTTAGGAGAAAGACTTCTTCAAAAGAGCAGAGTAGTTCCTTAAATCAAAGCTCTGGTTTGTCTCCTCTAGCTTCAACTATTTCTTTAAAGTCCGTTGCTTCTCTGCGTGTTCAACAGTCTTTTCCTCCACGTATAGCCCTTTACGTCGCCTCACGCTGTTCATGTATTTTCGCGCTTGGTTTTCCGAGTCCGCTTTCTCGCCAAAATGAGTGTATTCCTCTTCTGTTGTGGGAACCCAGAATGGATCAATATCCACAACCTACGACAAGAAAGGGAAGAAACGACCAAAAAGACAAGTTAGAATAATCATATCACCTTCTTTGTGCCAAGGTACAATTTCGATTTACAGAAAACAATTCCACGGGCTAACAAACGTAATTAGGATCGGTCGGCAGTTTCCGAATGGTCGCGAGCTACACCGGAAAAAGCCGACCGACTCCGAGTAGAAACGTCTATCTTCGCCAATGGAGAGGAAAAACATATGATGACTCAGCTTTACAGAGATCGATCGGAGTAGTGTTACTGGAGTTGGCTGTTACTTGCGAGAGAAAAACGCATTGAAACCCTTGCAATAATCAATCAGAAACACGGAACTATGTAAGGCTTCCTCATCAGTATAAACTCTTTGGAATTGATTCATTGCTGTTACAATTAAATCAATTTCATCCATTACACAGGTGACTGACGGAAAAGCGTCCAATGAACATTTATTAGCGAATGTACTTTTTACCACTGATTGAGGGGCAATTGTTTTCTTCTGACGAGATACCTTCATTTTTCGCACTTCATATAGCACGATTAACCCCTTTACGCCTACATACTGCTTATGCAATGCTCTCTCGTGGTATACCATGGAATATTCCACGAGTCACTTGTATTTTCTTTTGTGTTTTGTAGGCTCGTGAGTATACCAAGAAAATGCAAGTGACAAGCGGGATATTACATGGTATACCACGAGAGGGCGTTGTATAACTATATTACATCATGCCACAGAAAATACAGTGGTCGACACAATCAATGTCACATACGCGCGGCGCATGATGGGAAGGTTAAATGCAATACCATCGAATATACGACGGCTTTCCTGTATTCCGATTGGCTGTATTTTTCTATGGCATGGTATAAAATGTTATACTAAAAAGATCAAGAAGCACCCTTAAAATCTCACCTCCCAGTGACTGAACACAAGCTGTGGATTGGCCAGTCCACTGGTTCGTTTTCGTATTTCTTCCGCAAATCCAAAACTTTCTGCTACCGGAAGTACAGCTGTGACGTCAAACACGTCTGAACCTTCCTTCATTTCCTCTCTCAGCACCCGTCCCTCTCGTTTCGATACAACCGCGTACATTCGACCCAGGACCTCGGCAGTAGCTTGAATGTCGCAAGTGTACATAGCGGCCATGAGACGAACTGGCTGAAGAAGAAAAGCGCGCCTGCAGCCTTCCTTGACAGCGGACATGAGCTGTCCTGAAAACGGTCCGAATCTATCGAGTCTTTGTGAAGGAGGATTTTTCACATTACCATCTTCTGTTTCAGTCTGAGTTAAGATACCATCTGTCGATGAGTTTTTAACATTTTCATCGTTCTCCTCGTTAGTTTTGTCCTCATTGTTGTCATTCTCAGTCACATTCTGTTCAACAATTTTGTCGTCCTCGTATGACAGACTTGCTTGTGATGGATCTGTTAATCCAGTCATACCTGTTATACCTGTTGTTGTATTCGAGAGCAAGTCCTGCTCCGCTGAAATCCAATTCTCGATGACAAAGCACACGCCCATCAAAGGTTCCTCACAAAGAGGTCCGGCTAATGTGGCCAGCTGAAAGCCGCTTATAATACTGTTATCATAATCCCAATAACTGCTATCGGATGGCACAAAAGTATTTCCTGAAGCAATCGAAATAACTAAAAGTTACTAAGGCCATTCTTACACTACTTTCTCGGCACGGGACAATGTCTCGTACAAAATGTGCGGAAACTTAATTGCGACACAAACCTGTACGAAAGGCCTGCCTACGATTTGGTGAACTGTCATTACAAAATGTGAAGTTACAACGAAGAATTTAGATTTCCAAACAAGTGCTAGAGCTATGTTTGGAGACTGCAAGGAATATTTGCGTGTAGACTTTTGGGTAAAATGATTTGATACAGCCGTGGGGAGCGTCCGAGTTCCAAGCACAGAGCTACTAAATTACAATGGTTCCCTCAAACAGGGTGCAATCACAAAACATTTCACGAAAATAACGAACATACCTGATAATCCCAGAGTGTGCCACATTGAAGGTCGTTTATATCCAGGAATCCTGTTTAACAACACATTACTGCCAACCCTACGAGGTCCAAATGCCCAGATATGATCAGCAGCGCCATCCCACATACTGCCTGCCTCTTTAAAAGCATTGCAGAGCTCTTGATAGAAACATTTCAATGCTTCTCTTGTCGAGAGCTTAACTTGTTCTGCTAACTGTCTCCGCTCTGAGATGCTTGTAGCAGATGAAACTGTCACCAGTATTTTGATCAAATCGCTTTTCTTATCCAGTAACTGAGTTACATCCTCTGGGAGTGGCATAGCCCTGATGTGAACACTACACAATTTGTTTGCTGTCCTGATTTCAATGAGGCCTTTCTCTTTGTCAAGGACGTTTCTAACACCTTCGCTTCCTTCTTCATCCTCGTTCTGTTTTGGCTGCGCCGCGACTGTTTCGCTGACAATAGCTTCGTTGACTCTGTCTACGGTAGGAGGTATGACGATGGTCTCTCTGAATGGAACTATAGGCGCTGACACGTTGAGTTTGATGCAGGCGAAGCGTTGTTTTAGGTCGTCAATGCACCGCTGTAGATGAACCTCGCCTGCCCCTACGATCACGTGTTCACCTGAAGTGAAGAAAATTATCAAGGTATATGAGAAAAAACATGACAGAAATTTCACGCACACTTAATTCTAAAATATTACCCAAAACCCTGAAAAGCAAACTGATAAGCAATTAACGAAAATTCTAAAAGGAAATTTTTCAGTTGAGAATAAGCGAGCTTCGTTTCTTGGAGTCACTAATTAATGTTAACCGTTTTCAAATAAACGCCACCTTTTTCAACTGTTCATGATTTCATAGCAGGTTGAATTTATAATAGGACTGACCAATTTCATACGAGATCGATTTACACGCGTAGGTCTAAAATTTGACAGAAAGTATATTGTAAAATGTTGCTACATTGCTAAACGATTTTGCTACGTTACTCCAGTGAAACGCTGTCCCCCTTGCCCCTCGTTTTACAATTTTCTCTCCCGTTTTATTATTCCAATTCTGTTGAGGGAGATATACGTGATCCAATCAGAAGTGTACCAACAACTTTTGTCTGAAATTATAGCTGCTAGTGTGGAAAGTGAAATGCGCCTGACGTATGACAGCTTACCAGTTTCTTGGACTAAAGTTTCAACACAAGGATCAGCCTGATTAAGTAGCCTCATTCCCCTAGCAAGCGCCGGCATGTCGGCGGGGTGGACTGGTTCTACTGCTACACGTACAATGGGGCGAGCCTCGATTGGAAGAGCAGTAAATGGCGGGCAAGAAACAGTGCTGGAGATTGTAGCCGACTTCAGCACGTGACTTTCGAGACCGCCTATCCCCAGGACGTTCCCGGCCGGCACAGAATCGAGGGCGTCGAGCTCTCGACCCATTAGTAAGTAGAGGTCTTGTACGGTGAAGCACGCCACGTGTTGGTTTGTACCACGGTCCACTGATTTTGCTACTGACAATCCCTCGCTAGTCTCTTCTTTGTCACTGCTTGTAAGTGGAAAAAAAAAAAATAGACAAACATCAATAGCACTGTCAATAAAATTCACAAATTAGAGAATATGACCCGAACAATGTTTATTTCCCATTCATTGTCCCATATACTCCATACTAATGAACAGAAATCTTTTTGTGTACTATCAAGGATTTTCAGTTTCCTTTGGACTTTGTACCAGTACAATTCTCAATAACAAAATAATGAAAAGGTGTACCATCTTTTTACTTTACTACCAATGCTTATTGCAAACACCTACACCCTCTGTCCTAGGGGCTAACATCCGGTTACCATAAAAGGTCTGCGTTTATCGTTTTCATGAAGAAAAGCCTTATCCTTACAGTTAAACACAGCGGACAGTTTGTGATGGGAAATTACGCACTACCTGTCTGGTATAGTTTGATCGAGGTCCTCTAAAGGTACCAAATCTTCACTAAGGCTCTCTCGTGGATCATGTTTTGGGCCTAACACGTACAGTTGTTGTCCCTTCTTGATAGTCCCACTGTACACCCGCGCGAACGCTAGCACGTGACTTTTAGGGACCTCCTTCTCGTCTCTTGGTTTTATCTTCATTTCATTGTTTTCGTTTTCCTTGTTATCTTTGTTGGCTGGCTCGAGGATAAGAGGAGTTCCATTTTCCAAGCCAGTGTTATTTGCCATCATCTCGGCGTGTCTTTGTCGAGCTTGTTCGCGTCGAGCCCCAATTTCGTCTTGAGTCAAAGGCCTTAAACATGAACCAAGAGAAAAATAAAGAATGAATCAAATTTTCTGAAGGTATTAGGAACAATTACACAAAAAACCTAACCTTACAAACTGACTTCGTTACCAAATAGAAAATAGGACTGGAAAATACGAGAAATGCCGGAGTGGAAACATGAATATTTTTCCCTTGGCTGGTTGCCTGGTGTACAAAATCACCTCTAAAAGGATTCATACCGGTTAGCGTAAAGCTCTAAAAGTGCCTAGTAGTTTACTGGAATTCAACCAGGCACAAACATGCAGCTGAACTAAAGGTTACGGTCTTACGTATTCGTTGAATTACACAATTGTAAAACTACAACACGTGAGTCCGTAAAATCCTCTGATTTGTGTGTAACAATTTACGATTGCAACTTAAGAACTATCACAGGATGAGAGAATGAACATGTACAAGTGTACCTCTTGCGATGTTTCGGCAAGGCACTGTCTTCAACTGCAAACATTTTGGAAACAAAAACAATAACTGGTGCATCATCAGAAGACGTGCAGGCCAGAAAATCTGAAAGAAAAAGAAAGTAAACGAAATTAAAAAACATAAACATTAAAAAAGACTGGATACAAGTTTGTGATAAGGTTGGCTACTGTATACCGTTTCAGGAAGTGTTTTTCTATCCCTGAGCAGCTTGTTTTAAACACTGAGGGTATCATTAAAAGATGACACAAAAGTTTCCTATACATTCTTCTTAGAGTCTTATCTAAATTAGTATAAATCTATTAGCGTCGTATCACGAATGCCGTTCACTTACTGGCTACACTCTGTTGTAGATAGTGGGTAGCCTAGCAGTGCGCGATTGATAACAAAATGGCGGTCGCTTCTTTACGTTTTTGAAGTGTCTGGGAGGATTTAGATTGAATTTACCAGTCCAGGCGATAACTTACTACTGAATTTATACTAAAACAATTCGATTATTCACTCTCGATTAATATAGCGCGATAGTTGACGAGGGCGCCCGAGTCAACCATAACACTACATAAATTGAGAGCGAATAATCTAATAGTCAACTATAGAGCAAGACTCCATATAGAACACTTCAAATCTTGCAAAATTCTTCTTCCAGAGGCACAAATAAATTCTGTGATTGCTTAATAGACCACGAAAGTAGCAAATAGTACTTAGTCCTAATACCTTAAGCAAATCAAACTGTAAGGTACCACACCCAAATTTAGGCAAAACTCTGAAGAGAAATGACTTGAAGCCGTAGGATATCAGAACACTAGAAATGGCTACTGATTAGCTAATTGCAAATTTGCGTATTGTAAATTGATATACAATTAAGAACATAAGAGAGTCAGGCAGATTACCAGAGGCAAGGGATTACGACAGAAAGAGGACTCAGTGTTTCTCTAAAACATAAGGTAACATGTATAAAACGCTTGACTACTGATAAGACTTACCGTTTTTCAAGCTTTGTGTCTCCTCGGGTAGGGAGTCAAACGTCCTTACCCCACTACACATCAGCTTCTCCACTCTCTCACTGATCATATCTCGTGGACTGGGAAGTTTGTCCACCACCATGGCCAGTAAGGAACCAGAGAGTGGAAGCCATTGATCAAACAAGGCCTTGAGATGCACACGAGTGTCTGTGTGCCGACTGTCTCTTGCTGAGATCTTCAGATTTAATGATTTCACTATCTGTTCTGTTTTGATTTTGTCCCTGTAATAAAAAGATAGTCTTGTAGGAACTTTGTTGTAGGCAAGCAATTTGAAGGTACTCAGAGGTTAAGTGAGTACACTTTAAATTTGGAAAGAAAAAGAGATGGGGACTCCAGAAGATGGTTTTAAACAAGGTGGTCATAATTATTAGCAAGGATTCCAGTAACGAAACTTCTAAATTTGGGACCAAACAATCAGTGTTCATAATGGTAACGTTATTAAAAGTATGGTTAGAGTGGCTACGTATTGACTACAGCCATGCCAGAAAAATTTGTTGACACTATCTTAACTCCTCTTTGTGAATGTAAAATCACATCATTCCACTTGACTTATTATGCAAAATCGTTGCCCTTTCCTTTCCCATGCTCTCTGAGAAGAATCTTATAAAAGACCCTTTTATAGCCCTATACTATCTCTGACATAATGAGCGAAGAGGGAACCTTCCTCATAGAGAAGGCCTATTTGTACAAGTCACAAACTGTGCTGAAAACTGTAAACGTACCTCTTAAGAACTGCCTCGTACACAGCCCAAATGTTCTCCAGTATAAACTGTACAAACAGCGGCTTCTTAGCCTTGGCCTGGGCACCTTTGAAAATCCTTTTTGATTTGGAATGAAGGTAGAAGTCTCCCCACAGAGTCTTGGTGAGGATGTTTTTATTTATTCCAAGTTTACTGGCGTACATTTCAGCAAAGTCATTGATGCTGGTGAAATAAGGTAAATAAACACATTTGTAGAATTGTTAACATGAAAGTACAGTGGAACTCTACCTTATGGCCACCTTGTTAAAAGGATCACCTTGTCAGTATGGCCATTCTGATCTTTTCTTACCTGGCAAAATGGCCATACATTTTCTGATTAGAAAACCCTGTTAATGTGGCCACCCTGTTAATATGGCCAATGGCCACATTCTGAAATCCCAACCTGTATAATCCTATAGAATTTTACCCTGATTAGTAATTATACGGTCACTCCAACCAGTCATGTTCATTTTGCCATGATTACTATTGTACATACTGATTGAAGATCATTTTTTTTCTACACTCCAGATGCTTATTAAAGTAGTGTTGCCTAGAAGTACAATTGTGATATATCTGTCAAGAAGTTACTTCATGGCCCATTGGTGACCATATTAATGGAGTTCCACTGTACAGAAATAGTTTCCAAATGTATTTCAAGGATAAATGTTATGCCTTGGTTTGAAAATGAGAACATTTCGAGGAGATGGTAGTCAATGTACAATGAGCTAAAATTAAGGAGATCCTTGGGGAAGGAAGTCATTCTCTACAAAATGAAGCATGTATAGTGTATATTCAGCCTATGACTTGACCTTACTTGCCCTAATACCGGTACATCAGTTACAGTAGTAGGTTTTAGAAGTTCAGTTCCAGAGGTTGAGGGTTCAAATGACAATGAGGTCAAAGATGTGTAACATAATTGAACTTAATCTGAAAATTTCACTCACTAACCTAAAACCCCATCCATCAATTGCACTTGTAAATACAACATTTCCCAAATCAGGTGAAAAGTACAACAACGAATCATCTGTTTCTTCAAGGCCTGAACTCCACTCATCAATAGACACAGCAATATCATCCGTTACTGGTTTGTTGTTTGAGGTCTTTTCAGGTGTGGCTTTAGTGGAATTTTTTTCCAAGACATCAGTTGTAAAGAGAGCAGCTGTGATGGCATTAACCTGAGTGGAAAGCAACAAATCATAAAATTAATGTTTTTATACCTAATCATACCTTTTGGTTTTGTATCTGATTGGTTCAGTAGGCAGCATTTTTTATACCCGTCAGAGCACAGTAAAGCTAAACCAAAGCAACTCAGGATTACTTTCAACACCCAAATAAACAGCAATCTAGGATTCAACACACTCTTTCCATTCCTCAGACCCTTGCCAAGCTACCAGGCTACAAACAATGCATGGTTCTGTGGAAGAGCACCCCACCCCACCATGGATGAAGAAAAAAACTTTATCTGAATTGTATGATTAGTGATAATTGACAAGGTACTTGTAGGACAAAGAGGGGTTTAGCAGTTCGTCTACTGTTGTCATCTGCATTTCTAACTTTGTGTTGTTAGTTGGAGAATATGTGTAAATTAGACGGTGATTACTAGTAGTACTGAACAGGGTGGGACAATTACCTTTTCTAGTATCTGTTGTAAATGAAAGTGTGCCTCAGCTGGAGAGTACTTCAGTTCAGTTATCAACCTGTCAATCTTGTTCAATACCAAACAAGGACGAATGTTCTCCAGCCAAGCTTGACGTAACACCACGTGAGTCTGCAAAGTGAAGAATAGCAATATCCAGGAATTTAAAGGTCAATTCCAGAGTTTGTGGAAGCGTATCAGAACCAGATCTTTAACTTTGATTCTGAGTGGCTTAAGGTTACAGTATACCCTCAGGGGTGTCTCGCGTGCAAGCGATGTAGCGCGTGCAGTTTAAGCTGTAGATACCTAAACCCCTATATCAAATTAAAGCTTATGGAGCTGGCTATCAAACTATACCAAGAATTATTGTCGAATTTTTCACGACCACTAAATGCGAGCGCCCGAATCACCTTCCGAAAACTACAAGTCAAAGCGAATTTCGTTTTTCGCCAATTTAATTTTTTCCTCGGTTTCAGGGCCCAAAGCGCTTAAAAACCGTGTCTGCGTTTTGGCATATTCAATTGCAGTAAAAAGTTACAGAACATTTTCGAAATAGGATTAAAAAAATGTGGAGTGATCGTACAAAAATCGCTCNCGTAAAACCTCCATTTCTCCGCCAATATTTAGTTTTTTTCAATTTTTTTTCAGAAATTAGAGATCATTCTTCGACCACTATTTTGACCCAAAAATCCAAATTTGAAGAAAATTGCCGACCCGAAGGTATACTGTAACCTTAAAAATAACTTTCCAATCGTGACTTGCTTAGACACATCCCTCTGTACTTTGCATCCACTGCATGTATTTGTGTCAAGTTTTGACTGGTTCACTGGATTGCCCATGTAATTTTTGATTAGCCAAAGCGATTAATTTGGTTTGGTTTCAGGATACTCAGTTGAAAAGTGCTCTAATAGGCCTTCAGTAGCACTTTCAAATAACAATACTGACAAAAGTTCAAATGAGGCCTACTGTGAAATTGATGTTAGGAGTACTTATTAATAGTACTTATCCTATACATTGGTAAGAGTGAACAAGGGATTTTTGAACCACAAGAAAGTTATAATCAGCCCCTTATTTGAATTTAAACTAAACATGATATCTAACCTGTGGACAGACCCCTTCTACCGCATCCACCACAACAATTGCACCATCACAGAGCCTCACAGCTGTTGACACCTAAAGTATTTCACAATTTTATTACAATAACTGTAAATACAAGTATTGAAGAGAAAGTTCAAATTGATCCAATACACAAAGCTGAAAGAAAACAATTTGTAATTTATCGTTTTATTACTGTCTTGCTCCTGACCAATAGTAGCAAAAACGTTGATGAAACATTAGATGCTGAGGAACTACATCCCTGTACGGCCCCTAGTCAAACTTCGCAACATCCACAGAACTTAATTCTTTTGTCTGCACTGTTTTACATTTTGCCTTGGCACATGTTACAAGTAGCTGTTGCAAACTGAGCCACAACTATTGTTATCCTGATAGTAAACTGGTGTTAATAACTAGTGCCCTCTGCCTGGCTTGGAGGATAAGTTATTATGCAAGCTACAGGAAATGTATGACATACTACTAACAAGAAATACGCCTTAAGTATATGAAACTTTCTACCATGCCATAGAAAATAACGCCAATCAGAATACAGGAGAGCTGTTGTATTCTCAACAGTGTTACATCTAACCTTTACATCATGCACAGCGCAAGTGTCACATTGATTGTGTTGGCCACCATATTTCTCATAGTATACTTAACAATTATTCCATGAGCGCGTGTTGGATGAGATGGTAGATAGCCAACATGGTGCGTGCACAGCACCAAGTTGGCTATAAACATCTTATATCCAACAAGGGCGAGTGGAATAATTACTGTTTTATGTAAAACACCCCCAAAATATAGAAAACTAGACTAAAATAAAAATAAAAACACCCCCCAAAATCACTTGTAGAGCATGGTATAATGGCTCATAACCCATGATGGCTAAGCCAATGAAAATTCTCAAATTGCATTATCGAGTGATATCCCATTTGTGACTTGTATTTTCTTGGTAGACACACGTGACTTAAAGCTTGTTTGTATACCAAGAAAACAAAAATGACATGTGAGATATTCCAGGGATTCCATGGTATACCACTCAAAAGCGTTGCATAACTAGTATGTACACCCTGTATATGATTAAGACAACAAAAGAATTCCTGTGCTTGCCTCACTGGAAAAATCCACATGCCCTGGAGAATCAATAAGGTTCACTATATACTCTTCTTCATCTATAACAAAAGTAATAAAAAAAGGCATTTTAAAATAAATTGAAATTTGGAACAATGTCCATTTTATCTAAGTCCACTCTAGAGCTAATGGACAAGGCATAAACAATAGTAAGAACAATCCTGGATCAGGAAAAAAAACACATTCACACATTCAGTGAAATTAAAACCATGTTCTGTATAGATGTACACTGCATGACTAGTGTACAGAAGGTAATCAATCAATGAATCTTTATTTATTTATTTATTTATTTATTTATAGAGGGTAAAACACGTAATAGTTATACAACTAATAAACTTGTGGCCTTCTACAATATACAATAATTAAAAATCTAATCATTAAAATCAATATTATTATTATTGTTTCCAACTAACCTTTGGTAAAAAGCAGAGAGATTGCGCTTGATTTCATTGTTATTCCTCTAAGTTGTTCATCTTCACGGCTATCCATGTATCTTAACTGATAAAATAATTCATTATTAATAGCAGTTTATCAAAATCTTTCCTTTCACTGTTCTTTCATTTTACTTCAACAAAATCATCTAACAATGAAGATGAAAGATAGATAACTAACTCCCAACATACACTGTATCAAACATCATAAAATTAGAGAAGCCAATAGGCTTGATCACCCATTGCTGCTTGGGAAAAAGTCTGTGTTCCTCTCCCGAAGGAGAAATGCAACCAGACCTGAGAAAGTGGCAGATATCAAGCCTAAGATATCAAACTAACACTTACCACCCCGCCCCCCTCCCCCAAGGGACTCTTGGTCACTTTTTCAACTCAACACATCCCCAGATTATCCTAGAAAAGTTTTAGTCTTAAATACTCAGCCCTTCACCCAGGTCCCTTCCCCACCTACTGGACTTAAGACAAAGTTCAGAATAGGGCATCCCTATATCAACCCTGGTCAAGGATGGGGGGAGGGGGGAGGTTGGGGATAGATATTGGAAAGGGTTTGTATGATAACCCATTCAACCTAGTGAGCTATTAAACTTTGTATTTAGACTATTTTTTAAGTGTTCTTGGCGTTTCTTTAGACAGCTTGCTATTTCCTTGCCGTTTAAGACATGACTGTTTCACGTGTGGACATGTTCTGTGGCACTACTGTACAAGCTAGCGCTTACATAGAGAAGACTTACTTTGCCTGCCATACGTTGTGAAATGATCCCATTACTAGCTACCAATGCATCCGCTATTGTTGTTTTACCTACAAAGCGTGATTTATAAATGAGATGAAATATGGGCTTATCCAAAGAAAACAAAAGCATTCAAATTTTACTTGAATATTTCAACTTCTCAAACTTACCGTGGTCAACATGGGCCAAAATACAAATATTCCTGATATTTTTTGAATTTTTCTGGAGCTCAGAAAGATGCTGAGGAGTGGTGGTTCTCATGGTGTCGTCTATTATGCCAACCAAAGAAAATATTACCTTATTTTCGCCGCGATTCAGACCATTCTACTTTCTACTTTACCATGTTGTGGTGCAATTTTGAGTCCGCAAGCCAGGAGCGGTTGTCTACACTGAGCATGAGTAAACAAGTCGTTTCCAATTCTCCGACCGCGCAACGTGCACTGTCATTCTCTCAAAAATGGTGGGTAAATTTTGGTCTCTTTTACGTTCTTTTTCCAATCGTTTTCCTTTACTTATAGCAAATCATGCAAAATTGTAGCTACTAGAATTATCTATAGCTCTTATTTAGCTAATCTAGACGTGATTTACTTCGGGAATCTTGGCAAAAATAGTTAGATCCGACGTCTTGTGAAAGGTTTTTTTTTCCTCAGGGCCTGTGGCTTTTTTAGAAATAAGCTTAATTCTGTCTATTATATTTGTGTATCCGTGTGGCCTTTCAAACACCAAATGAAACTTATATATGTTCTATTTACAGTCTCGGCGGTACGATACAAGAACAACGATATTTTCGCCAGAAGGTAAGAAATTGGCAGAATCATTTGAATCTTAATATAGGTATACAGCTGTACAGTGAACATTTCCATGTACATGTAAACTTATGTTGGTAGATGATCGTAATCGATCTACTCAAGTGCTGTCGGTCAATCGAGGGCAATGGGAAAATATCATGTTGGAAATTTAAAGAATTGGTGGCAAACAAGCAATACCTGAGTTATTACAGCTCTTAGTATAACAAATGCACCAGGCAGATTCCACGGCCTTAAGTACATCATCTAATTAAGTATGTTCTCTTTGTAAATAGGGCGACTATATCAAGTGGAATATGCCATGGAGGCAGTAGGTCATGCCGGTATCTGCCTTGGAATTTTGGCTAATGATGGCATTGTATTGGCAGCTGAGAGAAGAAACACAAATAAACTCCTTGATGAAGTGTTTGCTTCAGAAAAAATTTACAAACTACACGAGTAAGTGAGAAACATTTCAATTTAGTCTTCTTGAGCCTGAGACAGTGAATTCATAAATGTTTACTATTTTGGCCGCTAAACTCAAGGTTGTGTATATCATTTGCCTCACCAACTATTAAAGCCAATAAGAATCAGAGAGTAGGTTAGTGATGTGATTACTCTAGCAAAGCCCTTGGGCTAAAACTGTTTGTGCAACTGTGTGCATCCTCCCAGAACTTAATCAGATTATCAGCTTGAGATTTCGATGGCATGCTAGTTGACAAGGGTACAGCTCAAGTCAATTGGTATGCATAGAAAACGAGAGTAAATAAATCTAATTGTTTTAGTAAAAATCTACTGTACTAGTCATTCAAAACTTAAACAACAATGCTCTTCACAGACACTTTGAAAATGCAAGGAAGCAGCTGCCATTTTGTTTTCTTTCAGTTTAACAACCACACACTGCTAGGCTACTCACTAATCAAGAACAGAATAGATAGTAGACTTCACCTCCTAGGGTATATGATGGCATGGGGATAAAAACTGTATAAAGATGATGTATGTGTATAACATACTATGGGGATGAAGCTAAGAGCCAGGTGCCAGATAGTTTTACTGGCTGAAAGAGGGCTAAATTGCCAATGGAAATTTTACTGGGGAACAAAGACTTGGAGGAACTGTTAAGATGCAAAGGCCAGAAAAGCTGGCTGGGCTTGTTAATGGGCCAGCTTATTTCTAGCTATAATGCATCCTTATTGACTATCTGGCTATGTCAGTAAGTCCCAAGAAGTCTCAATTATCAAGTCTTGACAGTATGTAGAATTTTGGACAGTTTGGCTCACTTTTGTCTTTCCCATTTCTTTCAGTGACTTGGCTTGCAGTGTTGCTGGTATAACGTCTGACGCCAATGTGTTGACCAATCAACTTAGACTTATAGCTCAGAGGTACAATTACAGTGCTATGCACCATTCTGTTGCTAATTGAGAAAGTTTTTGATTAAATTTTGATATCTTTTTGAAAACCTTTTGTTGGCTTCTATTTGAACCAGTCAATCAAAACATGGGAACTGTTGAGGGTGAAGATGTTAAACTGTCAAATTTACCATTCACTCTCTTGGGAATTTTGTAGGTCTCAACCTGCAAATGTTTAAAACTGGTGTTAAGCTGTCGCATTTTGATCAAACATTTGAAATGGAAGTCATCATAAGTTGTCAAAAAGTTGTCAAAAATTAATTAAAGACTATCTTAGGTGTCATATGTGGACAAGAAATAGAAATTTTAAAGTGGTTTGACATTTCAGTGTCATAAATGAGCATCATAATCAAGAAAAAAGAGTCAATAAAGTTGTAATATCTTTCCACTTTTTTTACACAATGGAGAATTTATGTCGCTACTCAAGTACATACATTTAAACATAAGGGACAATTATATTTTGATATCAAGTAAACTTTCATTGTTTATTGGAAGTGTTGCCTGATCTTGTTTCTTTTCTTACAGATATTTATTACAATTTCAAGAACCCATTCCTTGTGAGCAAGTTGTTAGTTCATTGTGTGATGTGAAACAGGCCTATACACAGTTTGGGGGTAAGTATCAAACACTTGGTACTGGAGCAACCACAAAAAATTTTCTTTTACAAACTAGCTTGTTTATAAAATATTGGCAAAACCCCTTCATCAGTTGCAACAGATGGTAAAATATAATTTTTGATTTGATTAAATCTGTGGTTCATTTCTAATGTAGTAGTATGATCATTATTTATAGGTTTGAGGCCATTTGGTGTGTCTATTCTATACATGGGTTGGGACAAACATTATGGTTATCAGCTGTACCAGAGTGACCCCAGTGGTAACTACAGTGGATGGAAGGCAACATGCATAGGAAATAACAGTGTGGTAAGTTATCCTTTTGTTAGAGTTTTTATATCAAGTACAGTTCAACCTCTGTTTAAGGTGCATCTCCTATAGACACTTGCAATTTACTTCAAATAGACACTTACAATTTTGTGGTCCCAGCCATATACAAACACTACATTATTAACATCCCACCACTGGACACCTCCCAAGGGGAAATTCCCAATGTCCCAAAGATGTTTACTCATGGGAGGTCAAACTATATACATGTACAGGTATATACCAGATCATCTTGTCTTTTTAGTTCACTAGTGTCTTATACAGTACAGTATGTGTGTCTTAGTGACTTACCACCCAACAATATATAATGACTTTTGATTGTATTTAGTGTTTTATAAGGCTGCAGTTTCTATGCTGAAACAAGAGTACAAGGAAGAGGAGATGACATTAAAAGATGCTCTTAAATTGGCAGTTAAAGTGCTAGACAAGACTTTGGATATCACAAAATTAACACCTGATAAAGGTTAGATTTGTAAATTGATTGAAAAATAATACAGTTCTTTGCCTGGTTTTGGTATTGGTAGTTGGTCTATTGTCATACAGGGGCTATCTTCACTAACATGTTACTCTTTTTTAAGTGACTGCATTATTTATCATAATGAGAGTGTCAATAAAGGAAACAATGAACCTTGTAATTCACCTTAATCAAGGAAAAGAGTGGTACTTACCAGTTTGGGCCAGTCCTTCTTGGGGTACCCAAAAGGCTTCTAATATTGTATTTTTTGTTTTTGTCTGATATAGATGAGGAGCATTAACACTACAATATTATTAATATTTCAGAACAAGTGTTTTCCCTTAATTGTATGCAGAAACTATATTTCAACTTGTTTGATTGGAAAAGTTTATTCCATGTTACAGTTTTTTTTTTCACCATTTTGACTTTTTTTTTTGTAGTTGAGATGTCAACCTTAACTAGAGAAAATGGCACAACAACAATCAAGATTCTAGAAGCTGGAGAAGTTGACGCATTGATCAAAGAACATGAACAAGTGAAAGCAGAAGAAGCAAAGCAAGCTGCTGCCAAGAAATAAACTGTAGTTTTAATTTATGAAAATCCTCGCACTTCCTTATAAACCTTATTTGTTGTTAGCAACTTTGTATTGAATGTGGCAACCTCAGATGCAGTCAAAACCCGGGACAGATGTTGAATGCAAGACATTAAAAATTATTTTACAATACTTTGTAGGTCTGGACAAGTCATGGATAAACTTTGTTCAAGGAACTTTGTAAGAATAAATCTCACTTAAACACTTCCAAGTCCAAATTTCAGCATCCCGGTTCTCTTGTCACATGCAGCTTTTATCTTTCTCCTGAAAGAATTTGATAGAAGGGTTTCTTTCTAAATAGTTCAATCAGGCCTTAATTTTCATACCAGACTGATAATGCCAAACTTCTTCCTGTCAAGAAATCTTTCTATTAAGTATTAGAGAGGATTGTATGATGAGGACAAAAACACTAACAAGAGAATTTGGTTTAAAATGTAGAGAGAATGGTGCAAACTGATTACATCTTGCTCGATGCTGCATGTACATTTTGTAGTTATGTATTACCTGAAAGTTGGAAAGGCCATTAAACATGTTTATTAAATAGATGCTAAAAGAAACATTTGTTTTGGAAACTATGTGTAACATATCTTATCAGTTGAACACTGAGCTCTGAAATATAAACCTGGGATTCAGCTTAACCAGGATTCACTAGGTCAGATTTTTATGCAAAATGAAGCTGTCCTCTCTTTAGCAAGATACATTGGTATGTTGCAGAGTCTGAGGTGCTAACTAACAGGTACACTGTACCCAGAGTTAAGCTTGGGGTCCCTTTCATATAATGTTTATTTCTACTTACTCTTTATGTACTTAATAGTAATAAAAACTGTGTTTTATGCATGTGGCAGGGATTTTGTTTTGTTTTTCAGAAGGTCAGGATTGCATTAATACTGAATAATTCCAGTTGTAAGTTGTAAGGATACAGGTCCTGCCAAACTCTATTAAAGAAACCGCTTTGTTAGGTAACAGTCATTAAAAACTGACATGCAGAGCTTGTCTTCAACAGCTTTCAGTTTTAAACAGTTTCAGAAGGCTTTATTTGTGTCCCACAGTATTTCAGTGCTATTATGGAGAGGCCTTAAATAATAACCTTTTTCTCTGTCTGTGATTTGTGTTTGTTTCCTTGCTTTTGCTTCGTGTTTCTTGCTGCCAAGAAGATTATAAACAAAAAATAGGGAATTCAGCTCCATCTTCAAGAACAAGTTCACGGTCCAAGTTTGTTTTGTTACAATCCAGGTTTGAATCCCACATATTGCAATGAACTACAGTTTCAATGCCAGATGTGACATTTAAGAGCTTGATAAAACCAGTAAGTGGAGTATGTCTTTTGATACTCCTGGATGTTGGTAACTTTTTTATACCAGTTATAAGCACAAAATTTTCTTAGGAGGGGTGCACCACTAAGGAATGTCGTAACTGACTGGTGAGGTAAACAAATTTTAAAAGTGAATACAAAGAAGTTCTCATCTTGCGCGGGGAAGGGGGGGGCGCACACCCCATGCACACGTCCCCTTGATCCGCCCCTGCCTTGGATCTAAGTCCCCCTCCTTGGCCCCCTTGGCTATTTTAGGTTAATATGGAAGGGCTGAAAGGGCCAGGGAAATCTTGTTCATGTAACTGCCTTTTCTCCACGGCAAGCCTCCCCATTTGAGCACGTTGGGATATTCTGCTGAATTTATATCTAATATAAAAAAGCTTTTTTGGCAAGTTCTAAAGCAGACAGTTTCTTTGGCTTATGTTTTTATTATTAGTTTTCCACTACATGTACCAGTCTCTTGTCCCTGAGGATACTAATTAGGATTCTTGAAATTTTACACTAGATTCTCATCTAGTCATTAAATGCATGTATGCAAATATATGAAATTAAGTTTGATACTATACTGGAGAATTTAGGGCAGTTAACCCTTAATTTCAAGCACAATTTACTTCCTCTACCTAAAGATTAATTTTTTTTTCTTTTTGGTACCTGAACACACATGAATATTTAACCACATAAAGGCTACATCAAGTTAACAGCAAATAGCTGATTAATTACAAAATAAATTCTGCTTTCCTTCTGGAAAGATAAATCTTAAGCCTCAACATCTTGGGACTTTTTACTTTCCTCGAAAATGAGTTCTCTTTTACGAGTTTTTAAAGCCTTAAACTTCTGTATTATTTCTTTCAACTTGATTTCGAGGTTTACCATCTCACAGCTTAGTTCAATGGCGCTCTGAAAGTTCTTTTGACCCGTTCTTAAACATCCAGGAACCAAAATTCCAAACCATTTAAGGGGATCTTGTACAAAGCCATTACTGGAACTTTCTAATGGTAATTTTTCCCCTTTGGAAAGACTCAATTCCTCAATGCCTGTAATTTCATCGTTCAAACTGTCCGATTTTTGTGGTTTTCGCCTCCTGAGAACGTTTCTCTCCTCATCCTTTTCATCAATATCAGCTTTTAAAGTTTCCATTACTTTTCCAGGCGCAGATTTCTTCAGCTCAAATGCCATACAGGTGTCCTCTGATTGTTCTTCGGAGTAAACACCTCCAATGTGATACAAGGCATGGTCCATTTTATGACTGTATTGCAAAGCTCCCACGGACTTGTTTCCCATTGAATAACGCGCCTTTGACAAGTTGAGATGGCCATCTCTTATTGCATCGTTCAGATATTCTCTCTTCTCGTGAAGTCGTTCGAGAATGTCGAAAAATTCAATCGTGAGTTGGTCAAGCTGGCTACAAATGTCCTCCATCTTGGAATGTTAGCGGGAGAGACTGGGGATGAGTGTCGTGTCCTGACGACACTCGCTCCAGTCTTTCGAAAAGTTATGCGGGCGATGCTTCCAGCTCACTCAGTTTGACTTATTATCCCACCAATCTGATCTTTATCCAAAGAAGACGACGCCCGTGTTTTTTATCTCCTTACAACCTTGGTTATCAGTACCGATTCCATTGATTATGACTCATTTCGTACCTTAGTGAATGGCTAATGGCCCAAAATGTTCCATTCTTGTAGAGAATGTGATGGAAACCGGAACATGCTTAGTGGCAATGAAGTCCAATCATGCAAAGTATTCACGTGGCGTGCTTCCACTATGCTAAACCGACCAGTCAGAGACCAGTGGGAATACCCGAGAAAAATGGAACGACATTTTCCGATCAAACCAGGCCAGCCAAGAGGAGTGGCTGTTACCATTTTTTATTCCTTTTCCGAATTCCGTATATAAGTGAAAATGAATAGAGCAATGAGCCGGTTTGTCAAAAATGGAACGGCAAATTTCGGTCGGACCGGCCCGACCGAAATAAGTAGACCACCTCCAGAGGTGATCCCGAATATTCCGGTCGGAAGGGTCCGAAACGGACCTTTCCATTTGACTTCCGACCGAACATGTCCTATGTAACTTACTAGTACAGTCAACAATGTTCTAAATCGGACAAACTTCCCACTTATGTCCGGACTGACCTGCTGAAATACCAATTACTTTTTAAAAATCTAAAGCACATTTTCAGAGCTGTCAAATCACCACAAAAAGAAAACCACGTTTCCACTCAGCCTCATATCAAAACCAGACGTTCTCCTGAAAACAGAATACACAAATAGCAATGAAAGCCGCTTTAGAATTAAAACATAGCTTTCACCCAATGGCAAAGTTTGTCAAACTTTTGACGTCTGTTGTTTTTAACCAAACCAGGGTCAGTTGAATTCAGCCAGGTTAGTAGTACAGTGTAGCTAGTAGTTTTGAAAAGATAATTACTTTGCGTTAGAGACATCGGTACTGTGCACAGTAGGGAGCGGTCTTGAACTCAGTCACCTCCACTGGTTGGTTACTCCTCAAACAGACATCCGTGAAACTCGAATAGTTCTAAACTAATTTAATCCGCGATAGTAAAATAACACTACAAAAGGGCTTCCACGCAATAAACTACGCTACAAAGCCACATAGATTTTTCAACCTTTCCTGCTTCTAGTTACGAGACTGACTTACTTGTATTGCAACGTGTATAGTATTTCAGGCTGGACGGCTTTTAGGTCCTTTATGGACCCTGCTCGAGTCGTACCTCTGATTGGTGAGAACCACAGAAGCTTGCCACGTAGTTCATTATGTCAACAAATTCGAATTCAGTCACACACACGGTCAGTCTGTTTCCGTTACGTTTTGGTGTCAATAACGTTTTTGAGGGGGACTCGGACTCTACAAGGTAAAGAAGCACTTTCTATGTTTTGAAATTAAGTATAAGTTACCAGTAGTTTTAACTGCCTGGTTCTAAGAGAAAGAGGGACCCTTTTTTTAGTAGAATGCAAGGGGGATTTATTAAGACATGACTTATGACCTATGTTCCCCAACGATGGTTCGACTGAACTATGTGGAAATCAAGTAAAACTGACTGTTTTATACAAAAGATTATTAAAAAAAAAAGGTAAATGTATAAGAGGCAGGAAACACAAACATCCAATTTTGCCCGGTCTTTATATTAGCCCTGAAAACACTGAAAAGTCAACCAACTTTAATTTAACCAAGTGCAGTGGTGACTTGTTTATTGCCTGTTTTTAGTTTATTTTTGGCTCGTTTGTTTGTTAGTTTGTTTGCGTGCTTGTTTAATCGCAATAACTACGATACAAAACTTAGTTTTATGAGAAATGTTTAATGTTATTTATGGCAGATGTTTAATTTGATTTGTTGGTTACAGCCAATACTCCACAAAGTGACGTGGATATAATGGTGGTGCCAGGCCGGCTCAGTTTAATAGTTCAAGAATCTTAAAACTTCACAATATGTAAACAATTTTAATACTGGATTTATGTTAGTTTGTTAGTTAGTCAGTTTGTTTGTTTTTAGCGGTGTAACATCTAGACAATAGAGAAATAACAGTAAAGGTCAGTCAATGAACTTGTATTTTCACCCTGGCGTGAGAAACAAAGAACACAAATAGAGCGAAAAGTTCTACAGCTGGTGTCCCAGCATGCCACTGGAACCCCTGGTGAGGGATTTTAACGAAAAAAAGCCCCCTTTGTCAAATGCTACTGGGGGTCACAGACGAACCAGACAGACCATATACATCAGTTTAGGGAAATAAATTGAATGGATTCTGAAAAAACAAAAGCTCAAAGCTGACGACTTTCTCTAAAAAGCAATATTTCCGTGGGCACAAAAGAACTACCAAGAGCTCATCATAAGGGTAGTTATAACATATAGCGAATGTGTAAATAGGATAGCCTGTCAGTGCTTGGACCCATGTTAGAAATGAGGTGCTGTCTCTAGTTTCTACTTCAAACTTGAGACTAAGTTTTAAGGGTCTTATCTGATTGTTTTAAACGCCATTTCTTGCAGGTCAATGAAGACAGCAATCATATTTCTTGTTCTAGTAGGTAAGATCTAAGTTCTCTTCTCATCTGATCAGCATAGATAACAATCTACATCCAAGAGATCCTCGGTTTTATGAGTAAATTATCCCCGGGGGCAACTCTCATATGAAAAGGTTGGGGATGCTCTCTCGTCTCGCTTAGGGTGTTCATAACGAAACGCCGCTATTTTTTAGCCCTTAAAGTATCTTTTAGGGTGCACTCAAGGAAATAAAAATAATAAAAAACGCTCTTATTTCCGTTTTTAGGCTCGATTTCCGTCCGTCTCTCGAGTACTGTTTACAAGCGCGAGCTCCTTTCCTGAACAGCGGCTGGTAATCAAGCCTATTCTGTTTTAAGTGGTATCTTTTAGGGGTCAAATTAAGCTCGAGCCACACCAAGATTGGTCTCCTTTAGGGGTTTCATTCAAATTCTCCGACGAGCATTCCCGACCTTTCCATATGGGATTCCCTCTGGGATAGCGCATCGAGAGTATCACGAATTTCTGAGCAACCGGTTTTCCTTCCATTTGAAGATAGAACGCACTACCGGTCTGATTTTTATCTCTATTCAAGCCTCTGTTGTTGGATCTGAGGGAAGACGGTCCAAAGCCTACATCAGCAGAGGAAAACGGCAAAATGCGTTCAATACAAATTTAAGTAGCGGCCAGCAGCAGCTGCAATATGCCTCCTCGCCCCACCTTGCTTCGTTTGTACCTGGATATTATCAAGGGACTGGCAAAACAAATCCTGATGCAAGCCCAGAACTGGCTCGCGAACGGAGCAGAAATGTCCAAGGATCGCGAGGGGACGTTAAAAATCCAGCCTCGATGGTCTTTAATGATAATGGGAGTGGAGCACGACGGCCTCAGAACAATGTGAATGCCATTTCGGGATCACCTCTGAAGAATGAAAAAAGTGGTTTTCAAAACCGCATCGTAGAAGGTACGATTACTGATTCGACTGATGTCCAGCAATCAGAATACAGGTAATATATAGCGCGGAATTGGAACGCGCGAGAGATATCAGGTAAACAAAAACTATCTTCAGTAACAGTTTTGCCAGTAAATATTTTTATAGCCATAAACTCAATGATGCTGTGGTTAAAGGAGTTACGTCACAGATTCGCACCTTGAAAAGTTTAGCCTAAACTTTTCAAGTTTGTCGTTTGTAATCTGCGTTAATCTTCTCCATCCTTAAGGTTTATTATTATCTCTGGTTTTTTTCTATCTTGGTAAATTACTATTTTCAGGTTCCTTTCGTTTAAAGGTAGTTTTGAACAAGACCAAAATAAACCAAAATGCCGTGACTGAGCTCCTTTAAGAAAATAAGCTTAAGGCAATGTATAAGAAAAGTTAATCAATTTTCTACAGAACCCAAAAATGTCAAAAGAATTCCTAAAATGGCGCGAAAAGGCGCGCGGAAAAACATGTTACCAGTGACTAGACGAACAACTGCGCCCGTGAGACTAAATTCGCCAATGGCTGCTGCCGCTGCAGCGGATGTACAGGGTGCTGTGGTGGAGAAAGGAATTGAAGTCATGGGGCAAATGGTCGACAAACAACTGCAGATCATTGACGAGGCACAAGAAAAGGCGGAAAATTTCCTGAAAAAAGAGGTAAAATTAAACTAACACGACTTTTATAAGGACGTTCGCGCTAATTGTTTCTGCGCATCCTTACTGCGAGCGCAAATAGACCAATTTCGATACATTAAAATTCAGCCTAAAACGATAGACCTCAGCACGAGACTCCGGGCAATAAATACAGAGTTTGTGTGGTTTATTCACGGGAGCCTCGTGTTGAGGTCTAATGTTTTAGGCTGAATTTTGATATATCGAAATTGGTCTGTTCACACGCCACGTCATGCCTTAAGCGCGCTCTAAGTAATAAAATGAACAATGATAGGGCAGATGGCCATTGCTATAGCTTTAATTGCCTGGATTTAACGACGGTGACCCCTATTTTTCTTTTGATGGATCATTTTCTCTACCCGCCGATTTTCTACGTTTAACGAAAAAATGAAGAAAATCTCTCATTAGAAGTTTGAATTTTTCGCAAAATGCACCATCGAATTCTTTTTAGCTCTTCGTTTATCTGTGCGGGGGTTTCGAATGCCTCTTGTAGGATTAAGTTTTGTGAAAACGTTGGCAACATTTGGAATTGTTCACGCAACGGATTCACTTATACAAAATATAACTGGGATAGTTTGTCTCCGTTGATTCATCTTTGATATTTTAAGCTAAGAACCCTGGAGACCTTGCTGATTTACGCGTACAAATTTTTCAAAACCAGACTAGTTTTCCACACGCTTTATCTCTGAAACGAAGTCCGTGACCCTCCATTTTTTATAAATTTCTAAAACAAGTAATTCATTATCTGTCCGCAGTAGAAGTTTGAAGAAAATCTATCGAGCTGAACATTTTCGCACGAACGTCCTTAAGTGTCGATAACGGTTTTTTATTTTGTTTTGTTTTTTTGGTCGGTTTCCCTAACTTCTTAACCCATATGACGCGTTTTTTTTCACTGAGATCTGAGATTTGCAAAACTTATTTGCGAAAGAGAAATGGGCCGTAAATTGAACTGACAGCACCTCATCAATTAGACAGCCAACAACTTTGACTGAAATCTAAAATGTTAAGACCTTCTGTTGGTTTTCCACACTTCTTAGCTCAGAAAAAGAGCAAAAAAATAAACGCGCAGCGATTTGCTAATTGTTATGAGACTAGCGTGCTGTTCAATTAGCCAACCTTTGGGCTGGAAGCCAATACAGAAAACTCCACTGTCAAAATTCGACAACAGCCCAAACGTCAAAAGTTGATTCCAACAGCAACACAACAACGCATTTCCAGGGAAACACGAGAAAACTGCGGACTAAAATGAAACAATTGAAACACGCTTCCTGTAATTCTACCTCTCCTTTTTAACTCCGGTCAGGAAATTTTATTTTCTAACTTACTGCTCTACATACTTACTGCTACGAGGTGATTATAATGTTATGTTTTCATGAGACGAACCTAATCAATGTCGATCGGAGTGACATGAAAGAATAACATTGGTACCCTGAGGTATACGTTGATTCGTTAAAAGTGATATTAAAGATAAGTTAACAGCGCAAAAACAGCACACGATGCTCACTGGGCCAAAGCGATGCTATATTTATTTTTGTTTCGCAGATAAAGCTGGATATTGTTCCAGACAAGGGCTGGCAGTCAGAAGACATGTTTGTTCCTCCTGGTTATCACCTGGATTCAAAAATAACCGATGACGCGGGCTCTCCAAAAGAAGCTGAGCAGGCAGCTTTCACTTACCCAGCAGGCTTAGGGAACGTGATGATGAACGGATGCTATGGGACTGGGTACAAGGAAGGCGATCCTTGTTACGTTGCTAAATGGACTCTTGACGCTTGTTTGGTGAGTAAGTAGGCTGACCGAACAGTTAAAGCCGAGAGAAAATGACAGGAGCTTTATAACCTTTACATCGAACCCCACAGCAATAAAGTAAGGTAAAAGTAAAGTCTGCGCACGAACCACTTGATCTATCAGGCCGGCGCTTATCTCCAGTTTCAGTAGCATGAAGCGACTAAGAGTATTCTACTATTCTTCTTTTCTAGTCTATCGCAGAGTTACTCCCCAGCATTTAATTCACCGGTACCCATTTATAGACCTGGGTGGAGAGAGGCGCCGTAAGAGTAAAGTGTCTTACCCAAGAACACAGCACAATGACCCCGGCCAGGGCTTAAACCCGGAGCCGGACTTGGAGCACTAACCACGAGGCAACCGTGCCTCTCATATAGCAATGAAGTGATGACATTTTATACGAAGTACAACATAACGAGATAGCTACACGGCCAGATCAATTAATATCGTTTTTTAATCACCCACAGAACATGATTGATGGCGCGGCATTCATGGGTGTGGGTTTTGATGGGCGTGGTGAGTACAGTCCTGAATCAAGAAAAATGAGCATCGTGCAAAGAAGCTGCGCTGGAAAAGCAACGTAAGTAGTCTTAACATCGTTTACACGTATTGAAATTTCAAGTAACATAAACAAATAATTTCTCCTCGGTCTGGCAATTCTACCCACAGTTTGTTCATTGACCAGCTTATATCGAGTGTTTGACAACCAGAATACCAGTTCATTTGAATGGCAACAGTAATGTTTTTATTTTAGCAGTGAATTAATATGATTTCATTGCTTGATTACTGATTTGAAAGTCGCCGAAATTCAAGAGTGGTTTACCTTGCACCTATTACTAAGAACTGTTAACGTCAAAATTTAATTGTAGAAGTAGATACGCAACGTGAGTAGTTAGCATTCGACTTGTATTTACCTAATAGGCACGGCTTTAATCAGCGTTGACTCCGCGTCATTTTCTTTAATAAACAACTTAAGAAGTGCATCTGACTACATCCCTGTAAGTATTAACTCCAAACCTTTTCTCCATTTATTTTTTAATCTGCCTGCACGTTTTCATGGAATCAGTGCGAGAGACTCAATGTTTTGATTTCCTAGGTACGATGATTATGATGTCCCGGATACAATGAATGTACATGGTATTTATGACACTAAAGCCACCATGCTGACGTTTGAGAGTCGCTCTGAGTTCCAGTCCCACTTGCAAGAGGAGGCCGGGGTATCAGGCTCATTCTTCGGCTTCTACGCAGGCGTGAAGGCCGCCTGGGGCGAATCGTCGTCAGGTTCAAGTCAACAATACATGGCTCAGTTAAGCGTCGATATAAACAGGTAAAAACAGGCTCCGGTTCCGTCGAACTAATATTGCTGGATATTGCAGACTATTATTTATCCCATTACAACAATAGGTCACTTTTGACGTGACCTTTGCTTCTGATGTGAAGTATATATGAAATAATTCATATTTGGACTGCGGTTGTAGATGAAAGTGAAGAATGATCATC